CATTTCTTACACCAGGCCCTCACGTCTTCTGTGCAGTTCACCCAATAGAACCGTTCACGCAGCTTGCCAAGGGTCTTGCTAACACCAAGATGTCTACCGCTGGTTTGAAGGGTCTTCCGGGACCCTCTTCTTTGGAATGACGATCTGCCTTCTCTCTTCTTGTCCCTCTGGTCTCTCAATCACACGGCGAAGTAATCCGTTATCTATTACCAATGAATTCCACTGGGACCAGTACGACTTCACGTTCGGCGAATATCTGCAAACTTCCTCCCACGTTGGTCTCTGGTCCGCGTTTTTCCAGTTAATCACCAAGCCCAACTCTGGACCACTGATTTGGTCATTTGCAAGATCTTCGGTTTGCCAACTATCACCAACCACAGTCGTCGTTAAGACTTTCACTTCTTTCTCTTCTTTGCAACGATTTCCCATCTGTCCGCAATTCCAACAGCGAATCGGTTCTTGCTCATATACTGATCCAGTACTTTCCGCACAATCTTTTCCACTTTGGAATCGTCGGAACTCTCCTCAACAGCCCGTACAAATCCTAGAGACCTAGAGCATTCTTTCTCGGCCTCAAATTCCAGGGCACGTGCTAGGGCATCTCCCAAATGCGTTGGATGAGCTAAAAGAAGTGTTTGCCTTGTCTCGTTGTCACGTAAACCATCAATAAAAGCCTGTACTGTTAAGCGCTCCATAACATTTCGGGCATAACGGGGTACGCAAGGCGAACGAGGCGGGCTACGTCGGCTTCAAACTCCTGCAGAGACTCATTTGACTTTTGAATGCGATTTTTTAGCTGGGAATGATAGACATGTTCCAAATGAGCTTGGCCGTACTCATTTCTAAATGTCGTACCAATTGCTGATAATCTCCCTGTTCAGATGGTGACAGTGTCTGCAGGATGTCAGTCGCATCTCCTCGCAGTGCGACAGTCAAAGCGGTAGCCTTTTCAGCGATTGTCCATCCGTTCGCTCTCGCAGCGGCTTCAAATTGGCAAAAATAATTGGCCCAATCGGTTTTTCCGTCAAACTGTGAAGGTTTCATAACTGATTTTGAGGTATACCTATTTTCGACTAGTTTCGGTCCCTCCGATGTTTCTTGACATTTTGGTTTGACAATTTGACTTCGCTATTTTTTCTTTTAAAATTTCGATTTTTCTGTTAACATCGTCCTCAATCTGTGCTATTTTGTCTTGTAGCTCCGTGGAATTCTCTATAATCTTTTCTTCTAATTCCCTGGAATTTTCTATTATCTTGTTATATAAACTTTCTTCTAAATTAAGTATTTCATTATTAAAGCTGGCCTGTATATCTTTAAAATTTTCTATGATTTTATCTTCTAATTTTTGGGAATTTTCCGACATTTTATCTTCTAAATTAATTATCTTACTATTCAAATTGTCGTTTAAATTGTCTTGCAAATTTTTCAATGACGAGTCAAGGTCACCTTCCAGCTCAAAGCAAAATGTGTCAGGATCCTCACCTTCCTCAATCAAAACCTCTCTCAGTCTGGCTTGCAAAATGCTTTTCTATCTATCTGTCTCGCACCCCCTCTCTTCCAATATGCATTTTAATTCCGACACTTTCAAGCCTTTCAACAATTTTTTCGAAGCCATTTTCAGTCTTTTTATTTGTCTAGTCTATCACACACGCCACACTTGACACCAATTGTTACGTTTTTCGTCGGTTCCGTGTGGATAGAAAGTCACAATTTATTTAAACACTATTTATTTAACACTAATTAACAAAAACAATAACGATAAAAGACTTATAGAACTATTTACAAACGATTTATAACTAAGAATTTATTTTGAATTTTAGCGCGTCAACTGCACTCGTATATTTATAACTGCCCTCTCTAGGCCACAGCCGCCGGCTTTTATACCTACAGTTAAAGTTTACTAGAATAATCCATAGATCGTTAGGTGCATAGAGAAGGTTTCGATTGTTCTCGTATGTACTACTCCATTCCAGTAGAACTCGATACTTCTCGAATCTTCGAATGAATCATTACGGTGTTTATGCGATGTTAAGGGCATCCGAGGGCGGGCCATATTGTTAGGTTAGGTCGAGTCCATACCGGTCCGCAACAATAATGTGACAAAATATATAGTAGATTAAACTTACAAGAAAGAAAACCCAGAAAAGATCCAGTGTTTCTCAAAATTTAAGGGAAAAATATTTTTTTTACATTTCGAAATAAAATATCAAGGTTATTTTGCACTTATTTGAAAAACGGTAAATAGAAAATATGTTTCTTTTGTCGAGATCTACCAGTTCTGAAAATATTTGCAAATATTTAAGACTCACCGTGTATAATAAAAAATTCTATCATATCATAATTTACGTTTAATAATGTCACTTTCCATAAGTGACGTCAGGCGTCATTACCACAAATTACCTATAACAGATGCGAAAGAAAGCGACTGCATCGGAAACCGCTTGGCAAACCCGACACGCCTATTGAGTGGTGTAAATACACCAGTCGTTTAGTCCGGAAACCTATGCTGTGTCGTATTCGCTTGCTGGAATGACATAGTGCGTGGTTATATGTTTCTTTTTAAAAACGCGTGTAGGATTTTTGTTGAACTTTTGAACTGTTATTTCTAAGTTTTGGTAATTTGTATATCTTATTTAAAATGGGATGCAAATGTGTTTATTTATAAGGAAAAAAAAATATTTATAGTATAAAAAATTAATTTATTTAACAAAATTTAATTAAAAATGTGACAAAATAGTTACCTTTCTATTGGTTCTGTCGGACTTTTTTCGACTATATAAATCTTTATTTGTAAACTTTAATACATCAAATATTTTCAATCTAATAAATCATTTAATAATGTAAATAAGAGGAAATTTCTCACATGGGTGGTCAAATTTTATAGTTTTCATTATATCAAACAGCCTCTGAGAAATGTTTTCAACTCAAAATGCCTTTAATTATGTTTGACTACATCACTAAAAAGGGTCTTCAAATACATCAATGTGATATTTGTCTAAAATTTGCAAAAGAATCCGAATCTCTGGATAACTCGAAATTATTTACCCATTAAAAAGCCTTTGATCATGAAAGTGGAAAACTTTGTTCATTTTATTTACAGGCTGGAAAAAAATTATTTATATTAAATTTTGATTAGTTTTGCATTGAAGAAAACATTCAGAGGCTGTTTGATATAATGAAAACTATATAATTTGACCACCCATGTGAGAAATTTCCTCTTATTTACATCATTAAATTATTTATTAGATTGAAAATATTTTATGCATTAAAGTTTACAAAAAATAAAGATTTATATAGTCGAAAAAAGTCCGATAGAACCAATAGAAATGTAACTATTTTGTCACATCTTTAATTAAATTTTGTTAAATAAATTAATTTTTTATACTATAAATATCTTTTTTTTTCCTAATCTCCTACGAGCTGATATAATATGACGAGCAATCTATTAAATTACTGTGAGATTATACAGAAAAGTCCACAGACTTCGAGACATAGGAAAATCAAGTCCATTTAGCGTGTGTCCAAATTTTGACAAGTTTTCAAAAATGACAGTTTTGTTTAGACTGACGTTTAATTTCACCTGACTTCTCGGTGAATGATTTCTTTTTATGGGGGTACATAAAATCTAAAATTTACGGCCATGAAGAAATTCAAAACTTGGAGCAGTTAAGGCAGAAAATATTTAATGCCTTTGACACTGTCACCCCTGATATGTTATCCAATGTGAGGAGGGGATTTTATGATCGTTTGGGTTATTGTTTAATGCAAGAGGGAGGCACTTTTGAACAATTTTTGTAATTTTTTAAATTTCATTATCCTGTTTTTTTACCGTTTACCCATTACCTACCTTGACGAACATGGGAAAACGAAGGTCCTTTTCAGGACCACAAATATTTTGATTGAGAAAATTGGTAACTTTTTTTTGGATTAAAAAACAAAAGTTGTTAATATAATACCAATTTAAAAGTGTTTTAGTAGTTTTAATACACACTATGATATAAAATTTATTATTATTATAATGTACATTATTAATACTATTGTTCATTCGAAATGGCATTAAGGCCCAATTGCAACAACGATTTAAATTTTTCTTAAAGATAAGTAGAGCTTAGAATGAGCTGTATTTATATTTACTTTAATATTCTTAAGGTGAATATGAGGGAATTTGACTGATACAATTTTTGAATTTGAATTGTTTTTAATGATACTAACAATTTTAGTTCAATTTTTAATAAAATTTATTTAATATTAATAGGAATCCAAGAGATTTGAAACCTCTTTTAACGATTTATAACATTCTCATATGAATTACAGGGGCACTTATTTTCTATGAAAATCACACAGCTTTTTTCATAGTCGCTGCAGTTGCTATAGCTATAAAAAACTAATTTTTTAAGGTGTGAAAATTGCGACACACGCTAAATGGACTTGATTTTTCGTATGTCTCGAAGTCTGTGGACCTTTTTGTATGCCTCGATAACATATTGGTGCAGATTATTTTCACCCAAACAAATAATAACCCAAACTCTACATTGATGCGGATTGTCTATAACTCTTTCTGAAGGTCACAGAAACCTGAACACGTAATTCGGCGTTCTTTCGCATCTGTTGTAGTTAATTTGTGTCATTACCTTGGGCTGCGTTCAGGCATTGAGGACGACGATTTGTTTGGACCATTGGACGTGACATAACAGCCTAGAGTTGTTTGTTCTTGTTCCACTATATTTAAATTATATTAGGATGTCTCTCTCTAAAAGGATATCCTTTATTTTAGAATGTTGAAGGACGTAAAGTTTATGTCCAGAGTGTCCATCTTGTCCATCTACCCAAATATGTGAACGCAGACCAGAATTTGAAATGTTAGAATTTTATTATTATAAAATTGGAGAAAAATAAAAAATCCATTTATTATAACATTGTTTAAAGATTGATTATTCATTACAATAGAAATATGCTAAATCACCAAATGAAAATAATTATTAATAAAAAATAATTTCTAGAGTTATTGAGTGTCTTAAAAAGGGATTGAGGATAGCCAAGCAATGTATGGATGTTAGTGTACAAGTACAGTTATTTGTAGAATTATTAAACCACTATATCTACTTTTTTGAAAAAGGCAATGAAGAAGTTACTGTAGAAATCCTTAATCAGGTAATTAAAAAATAATGCTCGAAAAATTGGTTTGTTTTTTATAGGAAATGTTGAATTGATTTCCCAAATTTTTTCTTGATAAATCAATATTTTTCTGAATTTTTTGAGACAACCTGAATATTAATAAACTATTATTATTTGGCAGGTTATAAAAAAGATCAAAGAAGAAAAACCGAACTTGGAAAGTTCAGACGAAACAGAACAGATAACTAAACATTTTAACAACACCTTAGAACACATTAGAGCTCGACTCGAATCACCAGACGAAGGCCTTATCTATAAAGGTATAGAAATTTAGGAAATTTTGGACATATTGTATAGTGAAACTTGAAAATGCAATGCTAAATTAAGATCGTACTAAATAAGTCTTATTTCATACAAGGTTAAATATAAGTAGTAGATAGCATCAACATAATGACTTATTTATAGAATATGCTAGAATTTGTAAAACTTCTTGAATTCATAGAAAGCATTTATCAATTATTAATTTTCATGGCCGAATAACTAGATTACTTTTTTCATTTAGTTGTATAAAAAATTAGAAAGCCATTACATAAGGCCTAAAGTTATCTAATACAAGTCATTAAATTACATTTAGTATAAAATCTACAAATTTATTAATTACAACATTTTGTTATTGTTGTTTATTTAAAAGAGGTACATACCTTTTTTATGCTCATTTGAATTATTACAAAAAAGTATATTTATATTTCTTTTATATGTATATCTTGTTTATTATGGGGCTTATTATTTATCTAAAAAAATAATTTTTAATGATTATATATTTAATTTCTGTCTTCTATTATACAGAGTGTAAACGATTCAATGAGAAAACATTCCGGAGAAGATTGCTTTTTGAAAAATAAAGGGTGTTCTTTATATATAGCATTTTTGCAAACCCCCTATAATTTGAAAAGAGAATCACATCCGAATTTTTTCATACTGTTTACACCCTGTATATTTTTAAAATTAATTTGAAAAATTGTGTTATTAATTTTATATTGAATACCTGTCATTAAGGATATGTTAGAGAAAAAATCTTTTTACTTTAATCAATTATATGTACATTATACATACACTAAATTATATTTCAGTCATCTTAAACAAATATTTAATGTTATTTTATTTATACAAATAATTATTAATATACAATTTGCCACACTGAAGGTTTTTTGCAGTTGTTTTTATTCTTACATAATACATTATAGGTTGTGTTTGTACGAAATCCTAAAATCTCCCTTTCTTCCTGAATCCTAAAGCTGAAAGTACTCTCGCTAGTTCCAATAAAGTACCGAGCATGTGAACAAATTATCTGATCAATAATAGCCACTCCAGCCTCATGATACTCCTTTTCTATTTCTGGAGGGGCAATGTATCTATAGACCTCATATTTTTTATCAAATTTCGACTTTAGCTCATTGAATTCTGGAAAGGATCATCTGATGAATTTATTAGTTGTTTTTTTTTAATATCTTATACAGTAAACTAGTAATCGACATATGATCGAAAAAAAAAAAAACGGCGTCCAGTTGGCTTGGAAATGAACATCAATGACATTCCCCATATAAGCTTTGTTTGGGTTCTTATCGATTCTGAACCGTCCTAGAACTCTGCCGCGTATGCGTTAATGAAATAATTTCTCCATATTTCCTTCTGCGCATGCGTATCACAGTTCTAGGACGGTTCAGAATCGGTAATAAGAAAAACCCCAAGTAAGCTATTGTCAAAGAGTAGATAAGACAAGAGACGACAGAGAACAAAGAAGTCGAATTTCGCGAGAGAGACGCAGATATATTAAAATTTAAAGGTCCCATGAAGTCCCATTTTGTTTGTTGCCAAGTATATTTCTTTGAAAAATAAACAAGATTTTCTGAAAATAAATTAATAATATAAGAAGGATATAAGTAACGTATGTTAATACGGAAATGTAAATTTTTAGTTTAGGTTGGTTTAGGTTCTTTTTTTGCAATGTACTGATAATATCAAAGAAACAGAATGACTAACTAAGTTGATCGATTTCAAAGATAAACAGATAAAATCTGAAAATCTGACAACGGCGTATTTTATTTATTCTAACTTATGATTTTAGGACGCTAATCAGCTGTGCTAATCAGGCTTAAACATAAACAAATCTGATTAGTTGTTTTCTTGCATTTTTGCCTTTTTCAAGTGTGTTTTCAGAGTTTTTCGATATATTATCGTTTTGAGAGTTTTTAAGGTTTAATTTTAGTATCGTTTTTGTTGCGTACTAATTTGTAATTATTGTTAAATATGAATACTGAACAGGACACGAGTAGCAGGAAAAGACGAGATGATGGCAATGTGTGTGCTTATAAAGACTGCAAAAATAGGTCTTATTCTTCGACAAACATAATATTTCACTCTTTTCCAAAGGATCCTGAAAAGTATTTTTATAGAAATATACTATATAATTATGTTATTAAACTAAATGTAATCCATAGATCGAAGACATGGTTAGAAGCTTGTAATATATTTTTACAAAAAAAATTGAGCCACTCTATTTTTTTGTACATAAACTCCACATTGTGATATTACACTTGTTCAAGTCCATATGTAAAAAAAAATAAACGTAAATAAAACATTTCTTACAAATCGACTTGGTCACTTTATCTTGTTTACCAACGGTATACAAAATATTTCTTGGTATTATTATCTTTATTCCCCGACAAATATGTTTCTAATTATAATTTATTTTATATAATATTTAGAAAATTAATTTTTTCTTTCGTTTCTATTTACTTCTTTACCCATACAGGAACTATTTATAAGCTATACAGGCAAGTTTTAATAATAGTCTATTTCAAATTTCCCGCGAAAAAATTTCGAAAATTTAAAGGGACAAGCGAGACGAAGTCACTCTCCCCACCACTCAAACATGAAAGGTACCGCGCGAACTGTCGTCTCTTGTCTTATCTACTCTTTGCTATTGTTTCAGATATAAAATGACAGCGACCTTCTTTTCATAGCCATCGCTGACGCCGTTTTAGTAAAAAATCAAATTTGGTACCCTTTTCTGGAGAATCAGTTGCAATGAAAACACTGTGCAATTTCAATTCATCTAGTTTTTTAGATATCTGAGAATATACACTATTAAAATCTGGGATTTCATTAACTCTGGCTCTAACAAAGTCTCGTCGTCTAAGATGTACGGCTAAATAAGGACCACCTATAGCATTTCTTTTTGGCTGAAAGGAAATAGAAATTAGTGATGTAACGCTAACGCATTCGCGAATATTCGCACATCTTTAGATATTCGCATTACAAAATAATACCTGCGAATATTTTGGGTATTAAAACGTTCAAAAATTTTTATAAAATTTAAATAACATAAGATAAATTAAACAAAGAAATATGAATTTCTATAATTTTCCTACTTCTGAATATGGAGATGTGAGCATCGATAAAATAGTGTGACTTCGTAAGGAGATTATGTAGAAAATAGATATAAATTTTCCAAAAAAAATTTCTTTCACTAAGTAATAAACTTTCCTGACTACCCTCGTATAAGTTTTTTTCTTAAATCAAGTTCAATCCATCTGTGGTTAAGTTTTAAATTCTTAACCTCACTTTACCATTTCCAAATAATAAAAGTAATTTATTATTATGAATAGTGTTTCACAAGGTAAGAATAAGATAATACAATATGAATATGATGATTTTCGAAGTATCACAATTTAATAACAATAAATTTATAACATAGGCGTACAAGGAGATCCAAACGAACAATGTATTAATGATGTATTTGACGATATCCTATTTAGTGAAGAAAGAGTAATCACAGAAAGTTATACAAGAGGATACTCTTTAGGAAGTGCTGAGGATACTATTGAAGGCTATCACTTAGGCTATCACAAAGGTGCAGAAGTTGGCTCTGAACTGGGTTATTATGAAGCATTTTGTGAACATTACTTAAAAGAATCAACAGATGGTAATATTTCTAAGAAAGCTGTAAAGAATTTAGAAGCCTTACAAAAAAGTTTAAATGAATTTCCTCACTCAAATAGTGATACTATAGATCTATTTGCTTTAATTGAGAAAATTCGAGGGTTATACAAAAAAATCTGTATCCAATTAAAAATTAAAAGTGATTTTAAGAAAGAGGGACTGCAGTTTTGAAAATATGTCACTATTAACACAGCAGATAGTTGCAAAACAAATAGAACATACACTTCAGCATTTAGAAAAATTCCTTTCGTTAGCTAATGTTCATATGGTCGATTATTTTACCAAGGATGTGTATTGTAATTTTATATCTGAAGATATACGCTGTGAAGCCGAGATATATGGATTGAAGCAGGCTGTAGAAGCTATATATAGCCAGCAAACAGAATGTTTACCAACTCTTAATAGATATATTAAGAAATGCCAAGAGCTGACAATAAACAATACAAATATCTGCATGAGTCTTGAAGAGTTCCAAAATGAACTACAAAAATTTGAATGTAAAAATATACCCAAATTAAAACTGGAAATGTTTATGAAACCCAAAAAAAGTCACGAAGTGGAAATATTAAGTTGGGTAGTCTCTGCAATAAAACATATATCAAATACTTCCCACATCATTGATATTGGTGATGGAAAAGGCTATCTCAGTTCACTATTAGCATTGCATTATAAAATACCAGTTTTGGGAATAGATGCTTCTCCTGTTAATACTAATGGGGCAATTAACAGAGCCAAAAAGCTTTCTAAAGTTTGGAATGGTGTAGTTACACATATCAAAACCACTGATACAAGTATTAATTTATATAAACAAATAACAAAATTTGTGGATGAAAAAATCAAATTTGATAAACTTATTGCAGATGTGTTTCTAGAATATCCAGATAGTATTGGGCTTACTGGTTTACACACTTGTGGTAACTTAGCTTCAAGTTGTTTAAAAATATTCAATGAAAATTCCTCCATCAAAACAATCTGTAATATAGGATGTTGTTATCACCTTCTGACAGATGAGTTTGAACCACAGACAGAAAAAAACATCTACAATAGATCTCAGACTGGTTTTCCAATGAGTCAATTTTTAAAAAATAAAAACTATGCCATAGGCCGAGGAGCGAGAATGTTGGCAAGTCAATCCGTAGAAAGAATTTTAAATAAAAATGAACATTCATCTATTATAGGAATGTTTTATAGAGCACTTTTTGAAATTGTTATTGAAAACACTTCTAATTATAAATCAAGCATGGAAAGACATGTTGGAAGGTTCAGAAAAAAGCCAGTATCATTTTTAGATTATGTTCTAAAAGCTGCCGAAAGAATTAACATGCCTGTTTTAATGTCCGAGTCTGAAATTGAAAATCTTTTCAAGAACTATGAACAGAGAATTGATGAAATGAACTTTTTCTATCTAGTAAGATGTATGTTAGCACCTGTTATCGAGTCATTGATTTTATTAGACAGACTATTGTATCTTCTAGAGAATGAATATACCAATACATTTATGGTTCAGTTTTTTAAACCAGTTATATCTCCTAGATGTTATGGTATAGTTTCTATAAAATAGAGTAAGATTTTTATACATAATATCTGTTATAAGTAACAACTAAGAATGTTAAGGACTTATGGTTTTTATATTAAAGTTTAATAAATTATTTGATGATATTTTATTACTGAATAAAGTTCACCAAAATAATTCTAACCTTTTCATCTTCCCAATTTTGCTCCAGGATAGTATTATCTAGTTCATCACTTGAATTTAAATAGGAATTTCTAAAATCACTTGCAATTTTTCTTATTTTTACATTAAACCTCATACTTCTTCTAGATTGCCAATAGATTTTATCTCCAAACGTGTTGTGTAGAACCACTTCGGCATGTTCTATTAAAATAGTCCTGACAAAAATCTAATCAAAAAAAAGTTCTTCTCTAAATAATATATTTTACCTCGCATTTGTTTTTAAAAATATTTCTTGTAGTTTAGTTGCTGGACCATGAAAAGAAATACACTTAACAGTATTTGAAGTTATATTTGCATAGTAGAAATATTTTAATTTGGGTGGTTTGTGGCATTTTTCTACTTTCCATCTCTCCTCAAAATTTCCAGTTTCAAACATATCTTCGAAATGCTGCAAGATATACACTCTGTCTAATATTAATTTTGTGTATTTAAAGGGCTCTAAATCTAGAAATTTTTCCTTAAACCAATAAAAAATACCCATTACGTAATTATAAGTTTGAATTACAGACCACTAAAATATTCATGAAGTTCTATCACAGGAGCAAATCTCTGTAAGCTTTCAATATCAAAAAATTTTGACCATGGTAGGTATTCTGGGGTCTCCCTGTAACGCCAATGTACTAAATGCGACCAAGGTGGCAAGACAAGCTTAAATTTGTTCAAGTCAGGATTATTGGTATGTTTCAATTTGTGCATTAAGGAAACGAGTCTCATATATACATCTCTACGAAGATTAAACCCTTCAGGTGGATTGACATCATAAAATAGATATCTGAAAATTATTCCATCTTCTGAATGTTTATTTAAAATAAGTTATTGGGGTAGAATTTTACCTATTTTGAGGGGTTGATTTTTGGCATTTATCTTTATAACAGACATCTTCACAAAAAACTAAGTTTATTAGTAAAATAATGAGAAATGAAATAGTTCTAATAAGCATTGTTAATGTGATTTATTTTTCACATTTACATTTATAATTTACGGTTTGTCACAGTGTGCAAATGTACCCTAAAGGTCCTTTAACTCTCTTTTCTTTTCAAATAATTATCATTTAAGGAATAACGATTCATTTCATAATGAAATATTTTGTTTACTTCTTCTTCTTCTTTTTTTATGATGGCTCTGCTACAAGGCAACCGCCAGCACAATTTGGGAGTGACCAAGATGTTGACTGGCTCTAAACCATATCAAGGCCACTGATTCTTATCTGAGTAAAATGTATAATGGGTAAATTTTAATATAACTAACTTCTATGAAGGTAACCTGTGACCTGTGACTGTAAAATGTTATTATTATTATTTATTAAATATATAAATGACGTGCTGAAAGGAAGATTATATCACACACAAAGGCACACAAACAGACTGCATTCGGAAACTGAAACAAAAAGAAAATAAAAAATAGAAAGTTGAGCATTATAATTTAATTCTATTAATGTTTAAAAATATCATAATAGTTTCTATTAATTTTTCACTTGGCTTAGACAAAACTGTAAATATTGATAGTGGAGTAGGAAAATTCATTTCAATAAATTTTTGATATAAATCCAAATTAAACAAAAAAAATTTATAGGACATTCTAAAAAGATATGATTTAGGTCTTCAACAGAGCCACACTCACAGAATGGATCTTCCTTCACTTTAATTTTATATAAATGGTTTTTTGTTAAGCAATGGCCTGTACGCATTCTAATTAACGTTGTAATATGTCTTCTATCTATATACTGGAAATTTTTAGACCATTGTTTATCTGGGAAGATTGTTTGTATATTAAGATACACATGCTTTTTTCCTTTCATACGAGATTTCCAATTTTCTTTATAATTACACAACATATCAGTTTTAATTGAATTAAAAATATCTATCGAATCCATCTCCATAGATTTTGGAATATTTAAATCTTTTCCAATATTAGCCAACAAATCTGCCTCTGTATTTCCCAAGATATTGGAATGACCTGGAATCCAGGCAATCCTGATGTCAAAACCATTAGAACTTGCTAAACAAATTAAACGTTTGGTTCTTAAGGTCCAATAATCAGCAGATGCTTTAAAGAGATTTTTACTAATTTTTTGAATTGAACTTTTGGAATCTGAAAAGATAATAACACTACGCAAGTTCTTTTTAATAGCAAACTTTACTGCATCATGAATAGCTATGGATTCTGCCTTACAAATACTTAAAGAACCAGTTAGTCGCGAAAAAAATTTAAAATTTATATAAGGAATATATATTCCAAATCCTGTTCTTTTATCTTTTTTAGATGCATCTGTAAAAATAAAAATATGAGAATTTTTAAAACGTTCAGATACTGACAAAAATTGTTCCTTAATAGAAAAATCATGTTTATTAATTTGACAATCAACTAATTTAATAGAATCATTCAAAATATTAAAACTAACTTCATAACACGGAAAATTTTGACTAACATAAAGATTATCAATATAAGGCAGAAAGTCATGTAAAGCTGAGACCACATAAGGTACATTATTACTATTAATATAAATTGGATTAACAGTTTTTCTAATATTGTAAATTAAATTTATTAATGGATTATTTTGTAAAGTTAACAATTTAGACAGAAATTTGCCTACAAGTATTTTTCTTCTACATTCTAAATCAATCATAGAAGATTCTCCCAACAACGCTAATCTAGGAGTAGATTTCATACAACCTAGACAAATACGTAAACCCTCAAAAAATACTACATCTAGTTTATTTAAATTTTTTTGACTAGTTGGTTTAATAAAAATTGTTGCAAATTCCAAATGAGATCTCACCAGAGCAGAAAAAATAATTAAAAGGGTACAAGGATCAGCTCCCCACCACACTCTACAAACAGCCCTTAAAACATTTAAGGCTTTTTTAGCCTTATTAGTAATATTTTCAATATGCAAATCCCACTTTAAATGTTTTTGAAAAATAACGCCCAAATACTTCACATTATGTTTATATGGAATAATGTGATTTCCAAGTTGAATCAATGGTGGCTGATCTCTCCGTTTGCCCTTAGTGAACCATACTGCCTCACATTTTTCCAAAGATAAAGAAAGATCTCTATTAATAAGAAAATCATTTACAAGCTCCAAAGCATTATTAATTTTTTCAGACATCTCAAGTATATTTGAACCCTTAACAAAAATTACCAAATCGTCCGCATAACCAATAATCTTTACATTTAAATAATTTTTAAAAAGTTCTGAAATATAAATATTAAAAAGAATAGTACTTAATGGAGAACCTTGCGGAATACCTTTAGTTGCTAAAACCGGACCTAAGAAGGAACCATCAGATTTTCTGGAAAATAACAATCTATTTTTCAAAAGTATAAAAATTAAATTAGATAATTCTACTGGAATTTGTAAATTAATAAGCAAATTATAGAGTTTGTATATGTTAACATTATCATATGCAGATTTTATATCTAAGAAAACAGCAATAACTGAATTTGACGAATTAAAGGCATCAAAAATAAAAGTAGATAAATAAGCAATATTATCATATATTCCCCTACCCTTACGAAAACCTACCTGTTCATTTGTAAACACAATTTTATTCTCCAAAAACCAATCTAAACGATTTTTAATCATAATTTCTAAAATTTTGCCACCACATGAAGATAATACAATAGGTCTATAACTCTCTGGCAAAGTAGGATTTTTGTTTTGTTTTAAGATATTAATAATATTATATTTCTTCCACGAATCCGGTAACACACCTTCAAATAAACATTTGTTATATATTTTAAGAAGATAATTTTTAGCAATCAATGGTAAATTTTTATACATGGAATAAGAAATATCATCCATGCCAGGTGCAGAAAATTTTTTATCCTGAACAGCATAGTTAAATTCCTGACTAGTGAATGGAGGAATGTTACTATTTATATATGTTGGCGACAGTGTAAAATTCGGATCTATGTATATACTAGACATATTATATAAAATTTGTTGTTTTAAATCATCTGAAATGTTATAACTATTAGAATTGCTGTTATTATTAGAAAATTTTTTAATTTTTTCCCAAACGTATGAAATGCTAGATTCCCTATTTAATGTTTCACAAAAAGATTGAAATTTTTGTTTTTTCTTTGATCTTAATTTTTTTCTCGTAACTGCAATACATCTTTTAGCATTGATAAAATTAGTCAAAGTTGGAACATTATTGAAAACATTAATTGCTCTTTTTCTGTCTTGAACCCACTGAAAACATTCTTCATCCCACCATGGGTTTCCAATTTTATGATAAGAACCACATTTTTTCAAAGGAATGGCATCATCAGCAGCTCTATTCATAATAAAAGACAAATCATTATAATCTAAAATAGTACTATCTTTCTCGATTAACTGCACAGCTATTTTATGTTGATAAAGATGCCAATCAGCTTTACTACAATTTCGTACACAATAACTATTTACAAAAGCTTTTTTTAAATATAAATTGTTTGATAAATTTAATTGTAAAATTGTAGGATAATGATCGCTATTTCCACAATCACTAATAACTTTCCAGTTAGAATTTATAGCTAATGCGCTACTGACAATTGTTAAATCAACTGCACTCAAACTGGAATTCGGATTTTGCACAAGAGTTCTAGAACCATCATTTAAAATCACCATATCATTTTCTATAATAAAATTTACAAGCCTTATTCCGCCCCTATTAATAGGAGATTCATCCCATAATGGATGATGGGAATTAAAATCTCCCATAATAATAATTTTATTTAAATCTAAACCATCTAAAAGTTGTTTAAACAGATCTTCCGAAACATTTTTATCTGAATTAATATAAATATTAATTAATATTAAATCAGCAATTTTAATAATAATAAATTGAGCAACTTCTGAATTAAATTTTTTTAAATTAGAAAAAATAATATTCTTTTTGACGCAAATTGCCACTCCACCATATCCATCTTCCCTATCCTGACGAATTATATTATATGATGATAAAACAAAATTTTGATTGGATTTTAGCCATGTTTCATTTAGAAAAATTATATCTGGAGACTCTTCATTTGCTAATAAGATTAAATTAGCACGATTTGAATTAACACTACGAATATTCCATTGTAAAATTTTTATATCTGATGTAGACTTCATATTGTCATTAATCTAAATTATAAATACAATATATAATTATAAATAATATGTATAATATTTGTATATGTACCATATATGTACTAATATAAATGTAATCTTTAAATATGTGTTAAAATAAATAAAATAACATTAAAAACCTATATCTTGTTCAAAATCTAAACTTGAAAATAATAAATTCTTAATCTTGCTTTTATTTTCTCTTGACGTATTCATAATAAAATTAATGCAATTATGTAACTCATCATTTTGATGAAATTCAAATGTCTGAATGGCACTACCAGGCTCAGTTTTAGAATTATGTGAATTAGAAGAGGTATTAGAAGAGGTAGACGGTAAATTTGAAAAATCTTGCTTTTGCGGTCTTGAATTTGGAAAAAATAGACAATCATCTCTAGCTTTTTTATCCACTCCCTTATGAACTATCCTTTTCTTGGCTGAATTTTCAGATATAACCTGTTGAAAGGACCTTTTTACACTATTTTGGAAATACTGTGTTCTTCTTTCAGAAGGTTTAATAATATTATCAATTTTCTTTGGTATATCTTCCCCATTATGTTTTTTAATTAATTCTGGAAAGTTATTGTTGTTCAAAAAAAATTCTCCATTTGAAATATAAGATTTTTTACATGTCTCACTGGCATCATAAAAAGTTAAATTTTCGAGGGCCATTAATTCTTTAATATTTTTTTGTCTAGAATATTCAGGACACTTTTTTGATGATGACTTGTGGTCATCCTTACAGTAAAAACATTGTGTAACACAAGAAAATTTAACTTCCCCATCTTGTAAATGATTCTCCTCCTCTCCGCAATTAAAACATCTTTCTTTACCTTTACAATTGTTCTTAGTATGGCCAAAACGAAGACAGCGATAACACTGAGTTACAGGAGGAATATATACATTAACTGGACGTTCTAATCTATATAAATTTATCGATCTAGGCAGTATAATTCCTTTAAAAGTAAACAAAACAGTTCCAGTTGGTTCATATATAACAACATTATTTTTAAATACTTTTCTATTTAATCTCTTTACTTGTAAAATTTCAATTCCATTATTAGCTTTACAAAATTTCAAAATTTCTTCTTCGGTCAAGTCCGCATCGATTTGTCTTACAATTCCTTTGCAGGTAACAAAATTATATGGTATAAATATTTTATACCCTTTCTCAATTAATGTTTTATTTTTTAAAAAATTATTTGCTGATTGAAAATTAATAAATTCAACAGAGATTCTATTTAGACCTTTATTATTAATTCTCTTTATATCAGTCAAATTTAAATTAAAAATTTCTCTAGCTATTTTTATGTTATTAAACTTTCCAATGTTATAGCCAACATTAACCGTCGATTCCAAATAAACTACGAAAGGACCATTATCATTTTTAGAATAAAAAATTGTTTTTCATTTTAAATTTTGACTGCGTTGAACCCAAACTAATTTCATCCACCATATCAACAGTATCAATATTAACATTTTGAACGCCATCCAGGGGTATCCGCTCCCCTAGCCTTACTCATATTTAAAAAAAAGAAAATTCAAGCACTAATGAATGTATTATATACAAAAATAAAAATATATAACAATATGAACAAATCAAAAAATTCAATTAACCTAACAAAAAAAATAATGCTCAACTTACCACAGGAAGGCTAAGGTAAAGGTGCAAAAAAAAGCTTTCAGCGTTTTCTCGGCAAAAAAACTCTTAAAGATTTCACAAATATCAGAGCTGGGTCACCAAACAAAGCTGAAATAAATGTCCAAAAAACCGCAGTCCTAACAGCACTAAAATTAACTAAAAAATTAATATTTTTTTCAGACAGAAAATGACAATGTCACAAGCACCGAAAAAAATTTGAAGTGTGTTTTGTTTACTTTTTTATTCAAAGTTTGTTTACTTCTTCATTTCATAACCTTACTTTTATCTAAGGATGTCCAAAATTTGTCCAAAATACATCGAGGCATCGGAAATATCCAAAGGAAATATCGATATTCGCGTTTCGATGCCTCGCGCGTTCGCGTCTGGCATTTTGTGGATATGGGCAAATATGGGTGATGCAGAGATATAGAGATATAGTTTTTGTCAGATTGTATTTTTTTTAGACTTTTTGATATAAACGAATGTTGTTGATGTTGTATTCTTCTGAAACATTATAATCGTGGCGTACTATTAAGAGATTTTTATTTGTTAATTTTAAAATAATAGACATGTATACAAATGTCTAAATTTTAGTTGCCGTATCGATAAGTTTTGGTGACGTAGTTTCCGGATAGTAAGTTACCCGACAGCAGCTAGAAGATAGAGGTATTTTTTACTTTTTTTCATATTAAGCCACTATATTATGATCTTTATCTATTTATAACTAGTATATTGAATTTACTGATCGTATTTTACAATGATCAGAATAATAGTAAAATAAAACATCATAACAATAAATATTTTCTTTATTGTTTTTGTCAAATTATTTAATTAACAAATATTTTATTTATGAAGATACATAATTAACAAATATTTTGTTTATGAACATCTATTTTTTTTTTCTAAAAATAAGTAAATATAAACCATTTTTAAGTACTAATATTTTAAACAACATTTTAAAGCCAACAGTATTTATGCAACATTTTGAAACTATTAAAAGCTAATGCATTATACATTTATAAGATATTTTTCATTATTACTATAATAAAATTTTCCTAAATTATTTATTGTCATTACAACAGTTTGTGATCTTATAGAATATTACAAGTTTCATTGTGATCAATAAAAACATTTCTATATATTATTTTAATTAATAATATATATAGGTACATAGATACATCACTATATACAGGATCAGTATATACTGGGTGGTAGATAGAAATCCTACGAAAATAGTCAATGTTGTTTTGAATCAAGGTTGATTTATTGGGGAATTTAAAAACTAGGTACAAATATAAGCTTTGTTCAGGTTTTTGTTATCGATTTTGAACCGTCCTGGAACTCTACAGCGCGCAGCGCACGCGCAGGTGAAAAAATGCCACATATTTATCCTTCTAGGCATGCGTATCACAGTTCTAGGACGGTTCAGAATCGATAATAAAAAAATCCGAAGTAACCTATAGATATTTTATTATTTTTTTGATAGAGCCTGTTTCAATACAAGAACGGTCTTTTCCTTAAATATTTTAAATATTATAAACTTTTTCTGTTGGTTGTATTAATAAACTTTTTTAAAGAAAATAATAGAAAAATAACTAATAGTTAAAATACTTAGTTAAAAAATAACTAATAATTAAATATCACTTTAATTAGTAATTACACTAATTACCACGATTTACCTATAGTCTTAAAACTAACAAAGACTATTGTTACATTTATAATACCAATTCGAAACTTTATTATATACCTACCGATATACTGACCAAAAGCAATATTACTATTATGGCAAAGTGTGGAAAGATATATATTATATTTTAACAATACGGTACATACCTTAGTAACAGAAAAATTCTACAGAATACAAAATATATAATTTGTTAGAATGCAATACAAAGTATTGTTACAGTTTTTTTTTATTTTTGTTACTCTATAATAACATTATTACTTCTGTTTGCGTTCTCCAAATTCTTATAAATAAAAGACAATAAAAAAAGTTAGTCTGTCAAATATATTTATTTAATGTGTGCAAAAATAACCGCCAGTAATAAAACCATAAGTATTGACCACAAGTAGGAAGAAGGCAAAGATTAGAAATTTTTGGTAATGCTATGTACAATTTGAAGCTCTGATATGATTATTCTAGATCTATATTTTTAGAAATTATTAAACAATTAATTTGAAACGAGGAAGTTATTATTTTAATGACCTAGAAAAAGTAATATCGTAAAATATTAAAGACTTATCTTTGAATATGGTAAATGGTAAACAATAATTCGTATTGATATTTGATACTAAAAGAACTTCCGTCTTTATATATTTTTAAATTCAAAAACGTTTCTCGGTCAGATTATTGACTGTTATCTAATGTAAAATTGGTATAGTTTCAACTTGATAACGGTTAGTGATACATCTGACTGAAACGATGTGCAATTCATAGGTGAAATTTAAAAATAAATAAAGACAATGGAAGTTCGGTATTTTTTTAGTTTCACCTATAGAATGATCAACCATCGTTCAACGTCACGTCATGTATTGTCGAACTCTCTCAATCGCTTGCCAACCAGATGAAAAAGGTTGGTGATGCCATTACGGCATTTCGTAAATTACTGCATAATAATCTTTTTAATAATTATCATGTCATTTGATTTGGTTTTATAATTTTATTCACGGACATCGATCAATGTCATAATTAAAATTTGATTGTTGCCGTAAAACCATAGACAAACACAAAGACAAACAAATAAAAAGAGACTGGCAAATTAAATGGCAAAGAGAGGGACAACGTTCCCGTAGCGCAACTCAGAACACAAAATTTCGTTCTATTTATGTTGATCTGCGCATTGCGTCTATTGGGCCCACTATCTCATTCTAATTAGCGATGGGAACTATCGAATGAATTAGACTATCGAATGGTTACTGAATGAATGATTTCAACTATCGAATGGTTTTATTCGAATAAAATCATTCATTCATTTGTATACTAAAGCATATGTGACAACCTCGCCGTGCGACTAAATGGTTATCGTTGCGCCACGACTGTCGAATGCTTTTGATAAATCAAATTTAGTATTCGTTTGATTTTTGTATGCGTCAGTGCATTATTAGTTCTTTCAAATTTTTATAACTTCACCTTGTAAATACTATGCTATTTTTGCGTTTATTAAAATATTTAAAATACTAAAATAGTAGTTTTTTTTAATTGACGATTGTGTGCGAAGTGGTCAAAATTTTTCCGAAAATTTGTGTCATTTTCCGTAGCCCGATCTTTCAATTATTTAATTTTATATGGTATATTATGGTTAGGTTAGATTGCATTTTTTTAAAGGGAAATTTTGAGAAGTAGCAATTTTTAACAAAGATGAGATGAACTTACAATTAATTTTAAAAATGCATATTTGTATTTTAGATGCTTTAATAATATGAATTAGTTGAACTTAATAATCATATTTAAGTAATATGGTTAAGTAAATTGTTGTCGAACTCAAATTTTGGAGTGAGAAAATTAAATTGAAAGTTTTACACGTGCCAATTTAAAAAAAAGTTAACAATGTTTGTATTTTGTTTATGCTAATTCTCTTACATGTAGTTTTTTGCGAAGAAATATTTCATTTATATTTTAAAGTAAATGCCAGCAAAAGTAAATATTATTTTTAAATAATAATATAAAGTAATAAAAAGTAATATAAATAATTTTGATTTCTAATTTTTTATTTATATTTTCCTTCCATTACACTGCATGCTTAGAAAATTAATAAATGTTTATATTTCATGATTTTAAAATTTGTTGTTAATATAACAAATTAGTTCTGTAATTATTATTATTTAATAAACAAACGTTGCCATTTAGAGACTATATTATTTTTAAATAGGATCTAATATAAATACTTTTGACTTCTACTTGTTGTTTATATTTTGCTACTACTTAAAACAAATGTTTATATTATTAAATGATTGTAAATTTTGTTGTTAATCGGTATAACAAATTATTACTATTATTATTATTTATTAAACCAGTCTTTGCTTAAAAACATTAAAAATCGTTTTCCTACATCCAAAATAAAAAGTATTATTGCAGTGTAACAACAGAATATTAATAAAAAAATGCAAAACATATATTAGTGTAAAACAACTAGCTAACTAATGCTAAAGAATAATATTCTTTGCTAATACCAACTAATACAAATATATGGCAACAGCGCCCTTCATAATATATTTTCTGGGTAAACACTAGCACCTCAATAAAAAAATAATGTGTCCTTATCTTTATTTGACTCCGCAAAAAATCAAAGATGCCGGCTTCTTTCATAGCATTGCCACCGACCGCTTTCGGGTTTCTAGGAAAGAAACCTACGTCGCCGGACGACAACTAAAATCCAGTTTATATTTTATTAAAATCGATCCTGACGAATAAATGAATTTGATAAATGAATGAATTTTATAAATGAATGGTTTTTGCTGCCGAATTACTAGAATACAATATTTCAAGGCAGATGACGCATCTATTCGATAATTTTTATTCGAATAGTTTTCGACGAATGTTTTCTTACTAGCTATCGAATTATTCGAATGAATTGCAACTATCGAATGTTTCGATAGTATTCATTCGATAGTTCCCACTACTAATTCTAATATAACAAGAGAGAAAGAAGCAACCATATAAAACGTAATTTCTAAATAGAAATTAGAAATTAGAACAATCGCCTTTCGTTTTCGTCATCATGACTACCAAGATGACAACAGCATGACAATTCGTCATGTTTGTTAATTTTTCTTTTGGTGAGTTACCTTTTTTTCTAAACTCTCCATTTTATTGACTTATGAATATGGATAGGGAACAAATTCCTTTGTTCCATATAGGTATTTATATTTTGTTACTTATAATTTTAGGTTATACTATTTGTTATTTTATTTGCTGCAGGAGCCAGTATCATCTATTTTCTATATGTGTTGGTGCCTCCTTTCTCTGATAGATATGTTAAAGACACCCGGTAAAATAAAAGTAAGTAGTTATATTTATCATCTTATTAAGAAAAAAGTAGAAGTATAGTAGTGTCAAAAATATTTCGAACCTCTCTTAACATAACAAATTAATACAATTAATTTTTTTCATTTTTTGGGTAGGTAGTTATAGTTGGTTTATAGTAACCAGAAACTTTATTAATATACCTATTTTACTTTTGTTTTAGGATTAAAACTGGAATTGAAAATGGTTCAGGACCATGATTCTTGTAAAGTCTTCTTTGCTTGGATATTCACTTTGTTATTGCAATTAGGCAGTTTTTTCGAAAATGAGATTTTTAATGCCCTTTAAAAAAATTGGTCGATCGTTTCCTGCAACAGTCAGTTCTTCTCCAGTTAAAATTGGTAGGTGGGTGGAAAAAACACTGTTATTTTTTGTTATTATATTATAAAAAGTTTATTTATTTTTATGTATAAATAAATATGTTTATAAAACAGTACAATTTTTGCTTTTTTTATAATTTCCCTTATAATAGTAGTATTTTTTCGTTCTGAAAGAAACTGCAAATTTTCACTTAAACTGATTTATTCCCTACACCACGTTCCCTTTACGTGGTATAGGGAATAAATCAGTTTAAGTAAAAATTTTTAGTTTCAGAATAAAAGAATACTACTAATAATGGCTAATTTAAATGTTCCGCCAGTGGTGCGATAATGTGCGATAATGTCTTACGATACGTTTTATACCTATCTCTTTCTTTTTCATATAAAGCACACATAATAAAGAAAGATAGCAATAAAGATGTACGTCCTGCCATGGTCCTGCTAACTGGTTTCAAAATTGTTATTCTGAGTTGCGCTACGGGAACGCGGTCCCACTCTTTACCATGAGATTTGTCAGTCCCTTTTTAGTATACATTATTTTTCTCGAAAAAAGACGCTGGTAGAACAGTTTTGCCTGTGGACGCCGTATGAAGTAAGTACCGTATGATCGAAAAACCGGCGTCCAGTTGGCTTGGAAATGGACATCGATGACATTCTCCATATAATTTTACATATAAAATGATAGCGATCTTCATTTCATAGTCATCGCTGACGCCGTTTTTTGGTGTAATATTCAATGTAACGCTAGTAATGCTATAATAAGGTGTAATATTCCTATGTAAAATACAAATTGATAGCGTTTTTAAATAATATAGCGTGTTGCTGATGCTTTAGATATAGAACATTTAACAGTCCAAGGGACTATAATTAAAGGGATTGTAACTGATGAAGAGTTCAAGAGAAAATTAATAAATGCCGAAAAAAAAACGGAACTCGCTCAATCACTAATATAGGAACGTACTTAACATTTCCTAAATAATATCAACTGAATTCAGACACACCCTAAATTTTACATTTGACAAATCAATGACTTCTTTAGTCAGTTCACAGTTTGGTCTCAGGTGCTATTTGTCCTTGTATTCTTTATACAAGGACAAATAGCACCTGAGACCAAACTGTGACCATTCTTCCAAACAGTGCCGTGGCACATATTTTTCTTAACATACCCGCTTGAAGCGATATTTATATTTTTGATAAATGTTTTCACTACGCCTATGATGTATCCGGTGGTATCATACTAATAATTAATTACGAAAAAAACGTATTAAAATGTTAATAAAAGGTACAAAACTAGTATCGACGTATAGCACATATCAATTACATAATATCAGAAAAATAATTATCATATTCAATAAAAAACGCTAAAAATGTGGAGTGAACTGTTTATTTCCCTATAAAATGTAACTGCTGGCTCTTGCTTATCATTGCGCCTTTTACACTTGAAAGCTGAACAAATGTCCACCATTGTAATAAAGTTTATACAATGTTCACTACACACAACCAACTATTAAAAATTGCTAAAATTGTCGCTGATGACCAGCTGATTACTCATTCGTTACGTCCAAAAAAATGGCGTCTAAGGTCACAAATCCTGCTGCAGCCCGTATATGGGCTGTATTCTTTAGTCATTGTGACAAATAATGATGACGTAATGGTGGACGATGGCTGGAACAGTCTTTACTTATATATTATATTAAATAAAACTATCGTACCATTTTTTCTCTAAAATGTATGGAGCATTCTAGATGTGTTATGATGCTAGATTCAATACATATAAACAATTATATTTAATATGTTAAATTATGATAACGCAGTATAAATGACTATATAAATGAATTTTGTATAAATTAATTTTTTTTATCAGACTTCTCACCTAGAGCAAATATAATATGCTGATGGAAATTGAAAATATATAGATAGAAATATAGAAATTAACTAAATTTGTTAAAAAATGTATTATGATTTAGAAAGGACGCGTCATCAATTACTTATTTTACATACAAATATTTATTTACAAAGTTTGGAAGACTTTGTGACTTTGCCATTGCATATTTACAGTAAACATACAAAAATATCTAGAGAACAGATACACAAATACAACTCGTCAAATATATGATGATACACTCTCCCTATAAATGCGAAGTTAACAATCAGATATCGATAGATGTTTAGATTGTATCTGCTAACAGATATCATCCAATATTTGAAAAACTGTAATATTATAAATTGTTATATATCTAGGATTTTTTTTATTAGGATAGGTGACCATTTTTGGTACGGATTTCAGGACATTTTGTCCCTATTTTCACACTAAATATTAGTTGACATTGTGTTGTCGTTTTTTTAATAGACATTGATTAAATTGACTACAGATATGTAGCTAATAAATTCAGCTGCTCTATACAAGGTGTCTCAATAGAACATAGAACTATTGCGTATTTTTGGAATTAAAATAAGAATATCTCACACACACATAATTTATCTCTATACAAAAGTGCTTTGTTTGTCCGTTAGCTGGTAGTTTGGAAAATATTTATACTAAAATTTATGTAGGGGTGGGGGTAGTTTTTACCCTTCCCTTACTTTCTCTTGATTTTTGTGAAAGTCAAATTTTAAAGCACTTACCAAAACATCGACACCCAAAAACTTCATTCAAATCGGAACAACGGCTCTTAAAATATCTTAAAAAATGTGTCGATTTTTATAAAGTTTGATGCCCCGTAACGGACAAACGAAACACTTTTGTATAGAGATAAATTGTGTCCAATGAACTTATTTTGATTTCAAAAATACGCAGTAGTTCTATGTCCACGGAATATTGTATACACCCTGTATATTTTAGAAAAATAAGTAAAAATTCATAATAATTTTATATATTATAAACAAAATATTACGCTATAATAAAAAAAGGTAAACAAAAGAAAACTAAACATAAACTAAAAAATAATTTATTTTGGGCCATGTTTACATTTTTGCTGCTAAACTAGGAAATAATAATTTTAAGAACATTCAAAATGAAGAGAGAGGTTTTTGGACAAATACTTCTATTACTAGTCAGCGATATAATCATTATGTGTAATACGATAACATGTTTAAACCCTCTGAATTTTGATTTTCAAAAAATTCTTAACGTTTTTTCATATTACATATTTCTTTTTTAACTTACACACGTTGCGCAACTAACTTATGGCAGTAGATCGCAATTACATGCTGCCCCGCCATTACCATCGGAGCACATGTCTAAGCACCAGCTGTGCCATCCAATAGTTAGACCTGAGCCACTCTCTGAACTCACGTTCAACGTAGCCTCTTGGAAGTCGGAAGAAGCCGAATTTGAGACCAGCAACGACGTGAGTTGTTTGTAAAGTGTGCAGCTTTGGCATCCATAGATCTAAAAAGCATAAAGTTTTTTAAATTTTTCTAGTTCTATACTTTTCAGTTAATTAATGCTTGCTGAGAGGCTGTACTAGAGGAGTAAAGATGATACTTTTTGGGGCGAGGCTGTATGTTTAACATTACTTTTGAGGCACAAAAAGTCATTTTTATTCCCAATAGAACATGGTATTTTTTTCAAACGCCACAAATAATTTTTAAACAATCTCAAAGGTTGCAAATTATACATATAAAAATATTTAAAAGTAATACCTTGCAAGTACTTATATATCGAGAAAGTATAGTTACGCTCTTTGAATTTGACGCTTTATGCCGTTTTAATAATATATTTTTGTACTTTTTTTATTTATTGATGTCGACTAAAAGAAATGGGTCTCATATACGTGCATATTGTGTAAATTTTAATAATAATAAAATAAAGTACAGAGACTATCATGCATCTGCATCGCAGCCGAACAACAGCAATGGAGGTCATTCTAGACCTAATATCCCTAGATCCTATATACTTCTAACACCACTGCACATTATCGTCGGTAGATATGCCAATGCGACAGTGATTAGAATGGCCATTGACGAAAACAATACTGATAGAATTATTGCCACCTCAGGCGAGCTTGGAACACAGTCAAAAATGAAATTCCACTCCTCACTCCTCACTCCTCACAACCAAACCAAACCAAACCAAACCAAACTGCCAGTGGATGACTTACCAAGAATGTACAACTTTGAGAAACACCTTATTGTAGGATTGAAAGAGAGAAGCAGGTAAAAGTTTGCCCAGCAAGTAAAAGACAATACCATAACGTGGTACACTGATGCTTCCAAAACCAAAGCAGGGACAGAAATAAGAGTAGGGCCGAAAACTTAATACGAACCAATAGACACCTACCTCAGCATCCTTCAGGTAGAAATCGAAGATATCGAAAGATGCGTACAATTAATCTTAGATAGGGACTATCAGAAACAGGAAATAACCGTCTTATCCGATAGTTAAGCAGCACTAAAAGCGATCAACTCAATAATAATTAAATAGTTTTTTTGTTGTTAAGGTACCCAAAGCAAGAAAAAAGTGTAAATTGTGGTACATCATTGGACTCAGGAGACCGAGTTCTTTCAAAACCGGAAATAAAAAATGCAGGTCCGTATTTAAAAAAAATAAATTGGCCTCTGTATCTCAAAAATTATCAGCTAATTTGAAAATCTAAAAATACTATCAGATAGCCCTATAAAGTGGCTATGAGAATGTGAGAATGCGAGACAGGAAAAAATAAAATTAATTTTCAAAAAAATCCGTTTTTTTCCAAAAAACTCAGCAATTCTTGAAATTTTTAAAACTTTTTTGATGTTAACTTGGTGAAAATCCCTAAGCGCAACTTTGCCCCAATTTAACCATGTTCGTATCTATTACGGTTACCGAGATACCAATGCTCGTACCTCGAATTTGTAGCACCCTGTATATGTTTTTTGTGAGGTTTCCTGGCCGGTAAAAAATACCCTAATCGTATTTTTAATCATAACTCAATTTTTTCAAATGGAACAAGAGTGGCTTATGATATATATAGTATACTTGTATACAGGGTGCAGGGGTGGATGGGCCATATGGGAAAACGGGAAAATTCCCGGTGGGCCGGTGGGAAGATGGGCCGGTGGGCCGGTCCCGATCAGAGTTCAAAAATGAAATGGTTAATCTTCTAACTAAAGTTATGTAAGATTCTTAGTGACTGCCTAACTAACTAATCAATTTGCATCAATATAATCGTTAGTTGCTTTTAAACATAAACACCAATTTGTAAAATAACTATTGTTAGATGTCTTCCTCTGAGACACTTATAATTTTAATAAACATCTGTTGTTTGTTGTTCCATTTGAAATGTTTTATTATACAAGGTGATTCTATAAGTGCACCTTATTTGTGCTGCTTTGTGCAAATATTTTCAGGGCTGGTAGATATGAATAAAAGAAACATAATGTATTATCTTTACCGTGTTTCAAATAAGTCCAAAATAACCGAGTTATTAAAGTTTGATTTTAAAAACTTTGCCACCTAAATCTTTCTCTATTTGCATCTCTTTTGTGCCGTAATATCAAAGATTAAGAAACTATACCGTGGGAAAATTTACGGTGAACAGGAAGTTCTAAATTTTTTCTAAAATATGCAGGAAAATTTAAAAGAAAAACACGATTTTCAACATCTTTTTTCCAAAAAAATCATGGACGTGTTCCTGGGGTCGAAATATACCACCCCTGAAAATATTTGCACTTATTTAAGATTCATTCTGTATAGTTTTACCACTATTTTTTTATTATATGCACTGCTTAGGTATTGCCTAGGTTTTTTTCGTTTGAGTCATGGTCGTTTGAGTCATTATCATTTTCGTTTGAGTCATTATCATACAAGATGCCAAATGTAGAAACTAGGAAAATTTACGTGATGAGAATTATATCCAAAATTAAAACATGTATACATGACGAGGCTGCTGCTGTACCAGAAAAGAGGGAATTTCTTTCTACAATCTGTACGAAAGTATATACCTGAAAACTAAAAATAATGTATTTTACAGAGGATTGGGCCAGCTGAACTGAATGAATCAGGAAGTTTTAAAGTTTCTCAAAACCGTGATTCCGTGATTCAAAATCGTAGCATATATCAAATTACCGTTATCGATAACGGAAATAAAACAGTAGAACCCTGTGTAACTGAGCTATTTTCCAGTAAAAATTCAGATGTCCGACCCGATATTGATCTTTATAAAAACTTTGATCGAGACAATAAATAATTTCAATATTTTTAAAAATCGGAGGCAAAGAGATTTTTCGCCCGAGCGAAAATGACTCTTACTTGGGGTGATTTGACCCTTACCCAGGGTGTCCCAGAAATAAGTGCAAGTATTTTAAGGGGGTAGATTTGGTAAAAAACATTTTTTCTCTTTACCGTTTTTCAAGTAAGTCCAAAATAACCGAGTTATTTTACTTTGAAAATTTAAAACAAAAATGCTTTTTTGCTTAAATTTTGAGAACCACTGGATCTTTTCTGTATTTTCTTTCATGTAAATTTAATGTACTACCTATGTTGCCAAATTATCAAGAAATTATGTTTTCTTAACTTAAAACTAAAAAATCTCCTAAAATTTCTTCAAAAAACTCCAAATTTTCGCAAAAAAAACTGTATTCTGAGAACGAAATATACTACCAGTTAAAATACTTGCACTTATTTCTGGGACACCCTGTATATTAATAAATAAAATATGTTTCTTCGTTATGGTCATCTTGTTTTGTGGATTCGGGCCGGTTGCCTGTTATTCCCGGGCCGGTTTCCACTTCCCCATCCACCCCTAACAGGGTGTCCCAGGCTGAGCGTGCATTAGAAGTTTCTAGAGAAGTGTTATATTTAGATCGGAGATTTTTGCACATTATTGTCATAACGAAATCTATCGATTAAAAAATATTTTCAATATGGCGGCACTTCTGAAATACCGGAAGTTGACAGCAACTTTTCTTATTTTAATGGGTACCCATTTTTTATTACACATTTAAATTCTCTGTAAATTTTATGAATTTTGAGATTAAACACTCTATACCTAACATTAACCGTTTTAAAGAAAAAAATATTTAAAATTTTTGAACGAAAAAAACTACCTTCGAAAATATGTGTATAGTTTAAACGTCAAATTTAGTGATTACCACAGCTACTGTGGCTTAAAGAGAAGACATATGGATATCTGTTTCAAAAATGAAATTGTTCAATGTCATATAATAATGACAGCAGCTGTCATGGAATTGAGCGATTAAGAAAATATCATAAGTCATTTTTTAATGGAAAACCCACTTTTTTATTTCACTAGTGAAAAGGATTTTCAATTTGTTACTTTTTGACTCTACATGTTCCTATACCTAAAATAGATTATTTTTAAGTTATTTAAGATTTAGTTTTAAAGCCTATATTTTTCGTGATTTTAACCAGTAGCTTATGACTTTAAACGTCAAGTGATGTAAAACAATAGATCTGGCCATGACATATTGTGACACTTTATTCAAACAGCAGTATGTTATCGATCATAATTTCCAAGCCAACTCGTTTTTTTTTAGATCACACGGTATATTATTAATAATATCAACTATTTAATATCACTAAAGAGCGAAAATACGAGATATATTTTAATAAATACACTTTTTTGTCTTAAGCAGGTGGTATTTATAATATAGAAAATTCAAATAATTCGTTTTCTGACAGATGGAAATAAATTTTCTGACTGTTCGACAATTATTAATGTCAAAGAAATCTAGATAAAATCAAGAAAAATATATGTTTTCAAACTAAATCTTAAATAACTTAAAAACGATTTATTTTCGGTATAGGAACATGTATACTCAAAACGAATTGGAAAACCTTTGCACTAGTGAAATAAAAAAAGTGGGTTTCCATTTGAAAAAAATGATTTATGATAATTTTTTAATTGCTCAACTCCATGACAGCTACCGCCATTATTATATGACATTTGAACAATTTAATTTTTGAAATAGATAGCCACATGTCTTCTCTTTATGTCACAGTGGCTGTGGTAATCACTAAATTTGACTTTTATGCTATACAAATTTTTTTGACAGGTAGTTTTTTTCGTCCAAAAATTTTAAATATTTTGTTTCTCAAAAACGGTTAATGTTAGGTATAAAGTGTTTAACATCAAAATTCATAAAATTTTACATCGACTTTAAATATGTAATAAAAAATGGGGGTACCTATTTAAAATAGGAAAGTTGCTGTCAACTTCCGGTAATTCCGGAAGTGCCACCATATTGAAAAAAATTTTAATCGATAGATTTCGTTGTAAAAAATCTCCGATCTAGATATTGTGGTTCTCTAGAAACTTCTAATGCACGGTCAGCCTGGGACACCCTGTATATGATATATAGTATACTTGAAAAAACATTCTTAACGATAATTTGGGACCACATATGGTATTTTGGGCCCACTCATCGTTACGAACACAGCCATTGCACTCTAGATTGAAATTTAATATACTATCTATAAATAATCAAAATTATATAATAAAAATTTCATCATTCAGTCATTCTATTCAGAATGTAATTCTCTATCAAATAAAGTAAAAAAATATTGAGGATGCCATTTAAAAATCAAAAATCCTGTGAAAAATCCAAAAAGTGACTGAAAATAATTTAATACTCCAATATCAATCCTGATTTATGTCATATACGAGCATACCAAACTTTTCAGTTATAGGCTCACCCTATAACTGTTTATTTTTTTATCTGAAAAAAAAAGTTATAGGGTGAGCCACTTTTGAAGTGGTTCAGTAAAGTTTTGTTGTGTGAAGTTTTTAAGTGCAAATATTTTCAGGGCTGGTAGATCTCGATAAAAGAAACATATTTTCTCTTTACCTCAAAATATTTGCACTTATTTAAGACTCACCCTCTAGATTTAAGAACAATTTTATTTTCTGATGATATTGTGTATAGTTGGAAAACCCGTGTAAACAAGCCAATTGACGTGTTGATGGCAATAATGATATACAGTGTGATAATTTTAAAAGTAGCATTCAGGAATCCTTTAAACAAAAAATGCAAAATCAGATCTATATTTCTAAGATATTTTGGTGTTTTATTGTATTTTTTGCGTTTTATTTAATTTCGAATTACTCAATTGCCAAGAACATAAAAATGCGTTTTTTTCTTTTAAAATACATTACCGTATGATCGAAAAAAAAGGGCGTCCAGTTGGCTGGGAAATGAATATCCATGACATTTCCCATATAAATTTACATATAAAATGACAGCGATCGTCATTCCATAGCCATCGCTGACGCCGTTTTTTTCTCGATCATAAGGTACCTACTACCAGTTCTTTAGAGTAAATAGATATTAATAGTAAAGTTTCTAGAAAATAATATCATATATATCATTTACATACAAGGTGATAATTTGAAAACTAGCATTCAGGAATACATATTATCAGTAGCGCAACTAGACACAGACATTTAGGGGGGCTTAAGTTCTTTTGGGGAGGCTCAGCTGACTTAAAAGATAATATTGATTTGAGGTGAAAACCAATTTTAAACGACCCGCACCAATCATCAGGGGAGGCTAACTTTAGATTGGGGGCTAAGCACCCCCTAGCCCCCTCTAGTTGCGCCACTGCATATTATACAGGGTGTTTTTGGCTGAGTGTGTATTATAATTCTCTATAGAACTATAATATCTAGGAGATTTTTTGCACATTATTGTTTCACAACGAGATCTGTCGATTAAAAATATTCGCAATATGGCGGCAATTCCGGAAATACCGGAAGTTGACAACAACTTTCTTATTTTAAACAGGTACTCCCATTTTTTATTATATACTTAAATTCTCTTTAAAATTTTATGAATTTTGATATCAAACACTCTATACTTAACAATAACCGTTTTTGAGAAAAAAATATTTAACATTTTTGAAGGAAAAAACTCTCTGTCAAAAAAAATTGCATAACAGCGCAGCGCTTTCAGATGGAGCGGACCGTCCGCGAGTTTTTAATTAATGTGTTTATGTATATGGCAGTCATCTGGACGGAGTATACGCGAACCATGTGAAATTGTTCATATAAACTCATGGTGCTTGCTCGAACTCGCGAACGGTCCGCGCGGACGTTCCGCTCCATCTGAAAGCGCTGTAAGCGTAAAAATTTAGTAATTATCATAACCGCTGTGTCATAAAGAGAAGACATGTGGCTACCTGTTTCAACAATTAAATTGTTAGAACGTCATATAATATTCGCCGTAGCTGTCAGAAAATTGAACGATTAAAAAATTATCATAAATAATTTTTTTTCAAATGGTTTTTTTTTTAATCTCAAAGTTAGCTTCTCCTGATGATTGGTGCGTGTCAATTTTTACGCTTAGGTTATACGATTTTTTTGACAGAGAGTTTTTTCTTAATAAAACATGGCGGTACTGATAAAATAAGAAAGTGGCTGCCAACTTTTGGTATTTATCCGGAAGTGCCGCCATATTGAAAATATTTTTAATCGATAGATCAACGATAGTGAAAAATTACTAGTTTTTAAAAACGTTTTTCTGCTATAAGACTGTAAAGAGAAATCAACAAGCTTTTCAACGCTTTGCCACACAAGATAGGTTTGGATTAAAAAAAGTTCAGTTGAGTCAAAAACTAACTCATTTTGGTTCCCTTTTTAATCCCCAGATATGTATTTATATACCGAGGTAATGTTATTACCCGATAGATATTCCTGAGTGAGTGTATTTTGAGTCTAAGAGGTATTCCCGATTGCTACTTTTCAATTTATTGCCTTGTACCATAAAAAATAAATAAATAACACCCAACTTAAATAACCACTGCGTTCTACAAATTGTAATTATATACTTACTTTTCTTGCGCAGCTACATTCTCTGCGTCGCAATATATGCGCTTTAACCAAATACGCATAAACTTTACATTTAGTTAAAACTCTTTTTTGAAAAAGAAAAACACCAAACCAAAAATGAACTGGACACAAAAGCACACCAATTTTCCACCCACCTGATAATCGTAATTAATGCAGAACGTCGAACAAACTTGCACAAAATCTGGCTCGTAGATGATAGACGACTGGTAGTTGCAGCTGCACAGAGGATATCCTAGCCCGTTCTTGCACAACACGCTGCACGAATCCTGCCTGGCAGTGGCGTTGTACTTCTTCCCGCCACTGCTGGCCGTGCTGGTGGTGCTGTTGCCTCCGCTACCACTGCCGCCGTCACTCTGCTCCTGGGCAGAAAGGGGTAGGTTGGTCGGTATCAGATCGTAGCAGGTCTCGCCGCAGGGGGTGCCGCCCAGCCCCGACATGCACAGTTCGGCGCAGATGCGCGTCCTGCGAGACTGCGACACGATTGGCTGGAGGGCGGAGCTTTCGTCCTGGTAGATGAGGTGGCGGGCGTGGCCAAGCGACAGCAGTAGCAGCCCGGGAATTATCGACGTTCTGAAAGTTTGGAGGAAAGTTAATGTGTTTTTGCAGGGGCGTAGAGGTGGGAAGGAAGCGTGTAGGAGTTTGGGAATTAGAAACAGGTAGGATGTGGCGTGAAGTTGACGCCTTGAGGCCAATTTCGCTTAATTATTAGTGTCGAATGGTAATGTACTGTATGATCGAAAAAAATGACGTCCATTTGACTGGAAAATGATGATCGATAACATTGTCCATTTAAATTTACCGATAAAATGGACAATGTTGTACCTATATACATTTATTTTAACTATTTCTTTAATATAGCTGAGTAATTATTCGACTATTAAATTAAAAAATTAGATATAACTACTTATAAAAAAAATATTTTTGAAGAAAATATTTAAATGCGCATATACCGGGTGCGTCTCAAAAGTGGCTCACCCCTATAACCTTTTTGTTTTTTTCAGATAAAAAAAACGAGATTTGATTAGGTTTAGTATGACCTACGTTTGTATATGACAAAAATTAGGATTGACGTATTCAATTGTCTTTGGTCACTTCTTGTTTTACCGGAAATGTCTACAACTTTTGATTTTTAAATAGCACCCTCGGTGTATTTTTAGTTTATTTGATAAAAAATGACACTGTGAACAGAATGACATATCATATATCAACTTTTGACATTTTTACTTAAATAAAATCGGTTTTTAAATTTCAATCTAGACTGACTGCTATTTTTAATCAAAGAGCCTTGGAAAAATAGATATGACCGTCTAATGTTTTTCGTGTCTTATCCTGGCCGGTTGAAAAATGCGTAAATCGTATTTTTAATCATATCTCAATTTTTGCAAATGATGAGCATATTTGAACATATCACTCATTATTCATGAGCATATTTGGAAAAAGCATTTTTTTACGAATAATTTGGTACCACACATTTGGTATTTCGAGTCAAATTGTCGTTATGAACCGCATGTTACAATTTCAAATAAACCGTATGAGAAAATGTCAAAAGCTGACATATGATATGCATTCTATTCAGAGTGCCAGTTTCTATCGAATAAAGAAAAATATAACAAGGTTGCCATTTAAAAATCAAAAGTTGTTGTCATTTCCGGTAAAACAGGAAGTGACCAAAGACAATAGAATACCGTCAATCAATCCTGATTTATGTCATATCCTAATGTTCCAAATCTCGTTTTTTATTTGATAAAATAAAAAAATTATAGGGGTGAGCGACTTTTGAAACTCCCCCGGTATAAATACGCGTATAAAAAGCATTTAGTAATGCGAAACACGATGCTTTGAAGTTAAAATTAGTGCTTTTGTATTTTTATTAAAAATTTTATGAAACGAATGCCTAAATATAAAAATAAAACTGGTCTGGAAATAACACAAAATAAATAAATAACATTTTTGAGTTATTTATCTTATGTATTTGGCTCATTAAAAAAGGTTTGAGTGTAAATTTATGCCTACGTTATTTAGAGAACTTTTGTGAGTTTATTTCCATTTATTATTACATTTTTTACAATTATTTACAATTGCATTTTAGGGTATTTATATTTTACTATGCAAATAAAAAACACGTTATTAATAAAACATCATTTTATTGCTGTAAAAAATTCAATTTTTTCATAATATTGACTTACATGATCTACATTTTATTAAATATTAAACTAAGTGTGTCTCATTTAGGAAATATATTTTAAATCTTAAACGTGGGGGGGGGGGAGGTGGGAAAAAATAAATAGCAACATTTTTAAAATATTGATTGTCATAAGAATAATTAGAATTAGATTATTTCGAGGATTATTTGCATTTATTAACTTGGTATCTAAAGAACTAATTAATAATTTACTACTTGGAATATATGATAAATAATGCTTGAATAACCAGGTCTCCTTTGATATATTCTTTATTTGTTTTACAAATTTGTTAAAAATATATTTTTTGTTTGTTCCAATTCTCTTATAGAATAAATTCTCCAAGAAATAACTGGAGACTTTTAAAAAATTAATAAATATAACATAAAAGTTTCAATTTGTTTATCTCAGTCTTTCGAGCATCCATAACAAAAACACAGAAGACTATTTTTTCCAACAACAAACAACCAAAAAGACTCTTCTAGTACTAGTATTTACTACATTTTTTGTATCTTGTAAAAATGCCACATTGCATATTTTTTAAGAAAAATGTTTCGAAGTTTTTTTCCAAATCAGGCCTAATAAATTTACAGGGAGTTCCAATATTCCATGGACATAGAACAACTACGTATTTTTTGAATCAAAATAAGGCAAATGCTCATAATTTACCTCTATAAAAAGTGCCTTGTTTGTCCGTTAGAAGGTATTAATAAAAAATAAACCCGAAGAACCTTATTTATAAAACTTTTGTAAGCTAATTTCAATTTATTTTTCAATAGCATTTTTAGGGTATTTATATTTTATTATGCCAATAAAAGAGCCGTTATTGATAATGCATAATTTTATTGTAATAAATAATTTACATTTTCCATAATATTGAATTACATGATACGCATATTATTAATTGTTTTATTAAATGTGTTTTTTACGAAACACTTTTTCTTTAGTTTTTTTGTATGTATTGTTATAACTAGAACTAGTATTTTTTCTAATATTTATTTTTTCTTGAAACATGTTTGTTTTCAGTGATGTAAAAAATCTCAGTAAGCCTGTTGTTTCTAAAGGTGGAAGTCTTAAAATTGGTATGACAATTTTATTATATAGATAGGAGAAAAATGATGTAAGATAAAATATTTGAGTTATATGATACAGGGTGTTAATAATACAGAAAAGTGTTAACACACAGTTAATAAATTTATTAATTCGACGGTTATTTTTTTCTAAAATCTACATATATAAAATGCTAATGTTTATCTGTGTCGTCTCTACTGAAGTAATGATTTGCTCTAGAAATTTGCTTTTTTTACTAAAAGATAGCTAATTGGCTCTTCTAAAAACTGCCGTCGCCGGATTTTTTGTTTTTCATTTAATTAAAAAAAATAAAAAGTATTTTTTTTTCTGATGTCGCATGTCGTGGCGGATGCGCCAGGCTTCAACTAGTATTTTATAAAATTTCTTAATTTTTATTAGGTATGCCATATACCCATTTCTTTTTCTTTGATTTTTTTTAATTCTCACCTTTAATTTAAGTAATAGTTGCCATGATAAACCAAAATAGATATTGAGTTTTCATTGTACAGTGGGCATAGTCCAATTTGTTATAGCAAGTCACATAATAAAGATAATACGTAGTTATCGATCTTTTTAAAAAAGAGCGTATTACTTGATATGACTGGCGAGGCGGAAAAGAATAGTAGTCTTTTAGCTGTTAGGCTTTATACAGCGCCTAGTACCCTAACCGGTAATGTTCTATCTGGTACAATTTTAATAAAAATACTATCGGAAGTAAGAAATAGCCATCTTATCCAATAGGATAGATTGTATAGATAGATCAATCTATAGATCAAGATTCTATAGATAGATCAAGCAGTACTAAAAGCGATCAACTCAGTAACCATCAATTTAAAGTTTGTAAAAGAATCGCTAGAGAAACTTAATGAATTAGGTAAAGAAAATAAAGTCCTCCTGCTCTGGGTGCCAACTCACTACGGGATAGAAAGCAATGAAAAGCGAACAATCTAGCTAGAAATGGAACGACCTCTACACTAACTGGACCATAACCATTCTGCTTTCCAAGTATAAAAAATTCACAGTCCTTTACAAAGATGCAACCGGGGGGGCATTGAAAATGATGAATAAATACGTAAAAATATGATTAGTGTTAATATGAGTGTATTACATACATATGTTTAAATAACGAACTTAACAAAAAACAACAGATTTAAAGATTCACTGAAAAAGTAGTAGTGTTAACATTAAATAAAACATTATCAATAATAATTATGCGATCGCACCTATCCGTAAAACAAGCAAGCAAAAAACCTCAAAAAGACAAAATAACATACAAAACATCAGGTTAACATGATGACAGATCATGATCAATGACAGATAAAGAATTCTTACGGAAAGTTACACTTTACGATATAATTTTTTAACTGTTAAAGGCAAACCCCATTTAAACACAAAACTTTTTAATACCTACTACTGTATCTAAAAGACTTTTTATAAATTACTAAATTCTTAGCCACGCTTCTGTTTTTCTTGGCTGTTGTGCGTCACGTCACAGATTAACAGGCCCACGTTTGCACCACAAAGCGATGCTGCAGACCACTAAGTAGACCGGTCGTAGAAATTTATGTTATACAACTTGTAGTCAATCTACACAAATATTATCAAAAACTTTTTTTCTTTTAAAATGTGTTCAGATTTTGTAAAAAATATAAGTCAAAATCGCAAAACTTAAATTAGATATGGGTTTCTTAGTTTTTAATTAATATAGTGGCGAATTACAAAAATTCATTTTCAATGAAAATTAATGAGTTAAATAAAATAATTTAATAAATTACTAGCTTTTTCTCGCGACTACGTTCGCGTTACACCTCGAATCGTTCATGCATTGATTTAAATGATTTTTTACTTCTTTATAGAGAGCTAGTGAACATATAGATGTTTTTTATTTTTCATCTTTTTTTTATTTATTAAGAGCACTAATACTCTCTTTATAGGTTATTTTTTATTCTTTGAAGGATAATTGAGGAAGATATATTTCCTTATGATGTCACTAAATAAACCCTTGTATAAAATTTTATACTGTCTGGTTTATAATGTTATAGTATTGCATTTTCGTACAGCAAACTTTCATTCCCTATTTTACTCCCTAAGGGTATAAATTTCATAAATTCGCTTTACCTTTGTGCCAATTTTTATGTGTATAATCCAGACGTCACCAAGTTTTATATAAATTTTTACTAACTTTACCCATTTGGTTGATGAATTTCAAAAATTTCTTCTAATTCTTTTTGTAGGATTTCATTCTTCTAGACGAAATAGTAAGGAATTTTCATACAACAAACTGTTCCGAGATAATTTTACTCTCTAAGAGGATGAATT